GCGGCACCCGCGGCAGCCAGCAGGGCTCCGGTGTTCACACGGCGAGCAGGTTCCTCTCTGAGCCGTGGGCGCTGAGTGCTCTTCACCCGGGCCTGGAGCCGTGACGTCTGCTGAGCGGAGCAAGTCTCAGTCCCCCTCTATCCCCGTCCGTCTCTGGGGTACACACGTGTGCACACACACACGCGCCTCAGGCTCTGTGTGCTCCTGCCGGTGAGTACTAAGTGTACCTGGCTTGGGCAGCCATGTCTCCGGGATCACGGACCAGAAAGGGTGCTGTGACATATGGCAGCAGGGACTGAGTCCTGGGAGGCTTCCTCTGCAGGTGGCCGGGGACGTGCTGGCGCTGTAACCCCCGTGAGTCCCTGCAGCATCCCCGAGCAGGGCCTCCTTCACACCTGAGAGATTGTGAGAGTGCGGGTGTGGACTTGGCAGCCTGACTGTGTTCATGTGCCTTTATTACTCTAGGATTCCTGAGAAGGCAGCCCTCCACCGGGCCCGAGCGCGGTGTGCAGCAGGGGACCTGTGCGCTCAGGACGCGGCCGTGACGACGATGCTGCTGGGCAGAGTATGGCTTTTGCAGAAAGTGTTTCCCCAGGGACTCATCTCCTCTAAGCAAACCGACGGAAGAGCTCAGTGAGGGTGCGCCACCCTGCTCACAACAGAGGAAGTCTCTGGCAGTGGGTGGGGGTGAGGACCTTCGTGCCACCCTGCGTGACGCTGTGACCCGGCCTGGCTGCTGGCACGTGGCCCCACGTGCTGGCACCTGGCGTGGCTCTTTCAGCACCTGCTGTTTCAGACCGCTGGATCCGGCAGGCGTTTCTGCCCTTCAGAAGGTTGCATTTCCTGAAGTCTCTTTATGGATTTGCAGAATGTGTGAAAGGCATCTGCTCTAAGGAAACTCCATCTGACTTTCCTTGTGCCCACTGCCCCACGCCACTCCCTCCCTGCTGATTACAAGGTTCTCTAGTAGGTAAAAATAGCAAAACAAACTTAGCACTTTCAGAACCCTGTAGAGAGACCAGCCCAGAGGCGAGACGGCAAGAAGCCTGAGCCTCAGAGTGGGCTTTTGTGTTGCCCTCTTTGTTTGAATTCCAGGTCAGAACTTTGTCCAAACTCCATGGAAAGTTTAATAATGTGGAATCCATCAAAGGCAATTTTCCTACAGCAAAGGGATTTTCATTTTAAAAGGATCCATTTCCACTGAAGCTAGCATTTACTGGCATTTTAAGTTTTGCTCCACACAGCTGTGGAACCTGGGAACATTTGGCCACGTTTGTATTTATTTAAGCAGTTTGAAATGTGCCCACATGGCTGAGATCTCCTGAAGGAAAATATCTGTGTGTGATTTTGAATCTAGAGTGACTTGGCTGTGAGATGCTCGGATTCCCACAATGGGCTTAATTTATTCCATCCTTCGTGCTGTCAGATTTCCTATTATTAATAGTTGTCGATAGCATGTATTCCTGATTATGTTTATTGTTGTGAAAGACCACGCTTCTTACATCATCCGTCACCAAACTCGGCATTTCTTAGCCAGTCCTTGAAAAACTGCCTTCAACTTCAACTGTCTAATCAGTTCTCTAATTTCTTGCCACTCGATGCACAAAACTACGTATTTGTCCAGAATTTTATTTTATTTTTTCTCAGGTTGCAGCCACTCAAGAGTTAACTTTTGTTTACTCAACTGACAGCCATTTTATTTCATTATGGGGAATATAATTTCAGTCTTCAAATTCCTCCTCAAAGAACTGAATAATCTGGTCTAGGGTTTCCTTTAATAAATCAGATCTGAGGACTCACTGCCCCTCCACAGAGGGGCCACATGTAATACGTGGTAGGTATGTAATACAGACAATTGCTCTGGCAGTAATGACAATAAGGATAAATTGGCTTTGCTACTTTATAACTGATTATTGAGATTTCATTTAATATTTTAAAACCCATCATATGTAATCTTGGCATTCTATATTCTCAAGTGTATTAATGATGAGAAATATTTTTTGATAGTCATCACATATAATATTCTAGCAATTCAGAGTGTTATTTTTTGTTTTTGCAATAATTTTGCCTTGTATTTGTTTGAACAGATCATTTGAAAGGTTGGTGCTTTGCCAAAGAAAGCCTCTAATGTGCTCATTCCTTATCCTAACTCTAGTCAGAGTCAAACAGTGGTCAGGTATGAGCTGTTTTTTTCTGACCCCCTTCATTCATTTCTCCCACTCACACCAGCTGCCTCTGGTAACCACCAATATGCTCTCTGTTTCTGTGAATTCTGTTTAAAGATTCTACATATATGTGAAATCACACAGTATTTGTCTTTGTCTGACATTTCACTAAACAGAATGTCCTCCAGGTCCATCCACGTTGTTGCAAATGGCAAAATTTCCTTCTCTTTTATGATTAATATTCCATCTTATATATGTACCACATCTTCTTTTTTATACATTTGTGTTTACTTATTTATTTTTTTGCAGTAGGTCTATGCTGGTTCTCTGTTTTGAATGTAGCAGTGTTTGCCTGTCAACCTCAGTGTCCTGATCTATCCCTCCCCTCGCCACCATCCTTCCCCTCTGACTCATTCTCTAAGTCAGTGGGTCTGTTTCTGTTTTATAAACAGTTCATTTTTATCATATTTTTAGATTCCACATATAAGCCATATAATATGGCATTTGTATGTCTCTGTCTGACTTACTTCACTGAGTATGAGAATCTCTGAGTTCACCCTGACTGCTGCAAATGGTACTATTTCATTCTTTTTTTTTATAGCTGAGTAATTTTCATTGTATATATCTACCACATCCTTTTTTATACATATTATACATTCATATACATTCCTGGGGCTTCCCAGATGGCACTAGTGGTAAAGAACCTACCTGCCAGTGCAGGAGGCATAGGAGATGTGGGTTTGATCCCTGCGTTGGGGAGATCCCTTGGAGGAGGGCGTAAAAATCCACTCCAGTCTTCTTGCCTGGACAGCCCCATGAACAGAGGAGCCTGACAGGCTGCATTGCGTCGGGTCTCAAAGAGTTGGACGTGATGGAAGCGACTTAGCATGCAGGCATGTGTTCCCACCAACAGTGTAAGAGGGTCCCTTTCCTCCACGCCCTCCCTAGCATTTATTGTCTGTAGACTTTTTGATGGTGGCCATTCTGACTGGTGTGAGGTTTGGAGCTCCATGGGCTTCCATGAGCTTGGTGTAGTATGAAGACTCTTGGGAAATTTATGATGGAAATAAGAAAGTAATGATCAAGGAGAGTATTAACTGAACTCTAACATTGTGAGCATCTCCAAATAGTTGGAAAAAAGAGCATAGCAAGTTCTGACACCTTGGAAAGCACTATGGCAGACACTGGCAAGGTGCTTACTTAGTTCCAATTTCTGAGCACATAGAAGAACCATGTTTCTCAGCCTTCCTTGCGGTGAAATTGGGATGATGAGACAAATCTGTCCAGTGGAATGTGGGGGGAGCGATATTCACCAATTCCCAGCTGGCAATTAATGCCCCACACACTCTGCCCTGTGCATAGAAGAAAGAGCAGGATTCAGAGATGGTGGGACCATAGGATAGAAGGTCAACATTCCAGCGTCACCACTTGTGGTAGGTCCCAGGGGAGTTGCAGGTCACCCAGGCTAGGGTCAGCCAAGTATGACTTTGTGGGTAAAGTTTGCCACCCCTACCATGGCAGCTGTGATGTAAGGGAGAAAGAGCGCTTTATTTTATTAAAGTGTTAGGATGTAACATAGATAACTACAACATACAGGTACACCTTACACCAACTACTATTAACTTCACTGGCTTATACCACCACTGTCAGTGCTCAGAGTTTCTCGTGCTTTTACTATAAAAGCAGTGAAATGCTGTGTGCGTGCACACACACACAGGGTTGACCCTGAACAACATGGTCGGAACTGGGCAGGTTCATGTATGCATGGGCTTTTTCAATGGTAAGCACTAATACAGGACCCATGGCTGTTTGGACTCGTGGACGCAGAGCCACAGATGGGGGAGCTGTGTATACAGGGGGCTGGCTGCGGGTTAAACGCAGATCTCAGACCACAGAGTGTTGGTGTGCTGAAGCCCCCGCGTTGTTCAAAAGCCAGCTCTGTGTGTGTGTGTGTTCTCCACATATGAGCATTCGTTCAAATATACCTCATGATTTATTTGAGAGGTAAACAACAGTATGTAGTAATGAAAATTCTGAGATTATAAATTTTATTTTTAAAATAAATGTAAATTTATCACTTTTGTGAAATTTGGGGTCATTTTTGTCTACTCCTTTTGTTTTATGTGTTAAAAGACTGGAAGTGTAGGTGATGCCAAGGGCTGATGAAGCTGTTAAGTGATGGTAAATTTCATCACCACTAGTGAGAGCAACTGTGGTCCAGACTTTCCGGAAAGTGCACAGAGCTCACCGACTCCTACTCTGTGACTCAGCCTTTGTGACCCTGATCCACGTCCCAGGGCAGGTCTGCATGGAGTGTAGGGGTGCTTGCTGAGGCATGTCCGTGGAAGTAACCAAATTCATCCCTAGGGGAATGGGTGCATGTCTGATGAACTTTTAATGGATAACTACTTACAGATGTGCAGAAAACACAACTGGAGTGATTTTCAAGTAGAAAGGACGTGGGAGAAGATAGCAAATTAAATAAAAAGAAAAGAAAGACATTATTTCACTAGGATCAGAGATAGTAATTCACATAGTAAAATTTCCAAAGTATTTTCAAATGGGGAGTTCATTTTACTAAACATGTTGAATTAATTTAAATGTCGTTGGTCATGATGCTGCTGTAGAGTTATTAAAACACATAGAGATATTGGCTTTAACATTTTTATTGAACATTTCCTTGGCCATTTTAAAAGTTGTCATTTACTGAGCACTTACTCCCTGATCTCTGACCAGACCTGCTGCACTGTGCGTCTGTCACAGGATTCTGCATACACTAGCTGCTCAAAGGTTGGCCACTGTTACTACTGCATTTTCCCGCTATGAATGTAGGTGATGCGTGACTTCACAAAGATAATTTTGACTTTTCTTTTGAAGATAATGTTTGTGTCAATTTTGTATTTGACTCTATCTGGATTCCAGCACTTTCTTATCAATTATGACTCCTTTATTTCTAGGACTATTTATTTGTTTATTAGCCACTTTTCAGTGTCATTCCTCCCTCCAGCTCCCTCTGTGGCTTTACAAAGGGATGTGTCAGGAAGCGGATGCTTAGCAGGGAACCTGTGTGTGTCTGGACAGTGTGAGTCTGAATTAGCCCTCAGGTCTGTTACAGACAGCACAGCAAACAGCAGAGTCGGTTCAGCATTGGCTGCTCACGTTTCATCTGATGCGAATCAGCCTGACTCTCTGAGGCATGAAGTTTTCTGTCAACTGCTGCTTTGGTTGTTTTGTAAGGATTTTATGGACTTCTGTCAGTTCTGGAAATTTGCATTCATTCTTTTAGCTGCATTCATTTTTAATGACCTAAGTGCTTGTCTCTAAGCTAATAATGTGTCAACTCTGCTATGCTTGAGGCTTGGATGGTCAAAAACAGATGATGCCCTGGTGTTGAAAAGGCACTATAAGGAGTCCTACATTCAAGACAGAGCAATGCCTGCATGGTGTTTTTCAAACATATGCCAAAGTGGGATCTTTGTCAGTGGGTTGTTGGTGAACACAGATGGCATATGGCAGGTCCCTGGTCTAAAAACTCATGCTGACTGTGGATTCTAAGTCTTCCATCCTGGCTTATCTTCTTGTCTTATTCATACTTTCCAGCTTAGAATGGCATGGAGGGGATGTTGGTCCTTTTGTATTTAAAATTGTTTTCCTTTTTTTGTGACCTGGGGCAACACAAATCTCCAAAATTAAATCTCGGCTCTATTAGTCAGTTGTAATTAACTTATTTGCTGTCAAGACACACAGTAGCTCAGAATTCCTCAGTTGTTTCTGACTTTACCTTTTCTCAAGATGAATGATCTAGGGACTGAATGCACCTCTGTGTATTATTTGCTCCATGCAGAAGCAGAGTAGGGCTTTTCAGTAGATCCACACCCCAGCACACAAGAGTGGAGATGATGCCAGAGGGCTTCTCTACCATGAGATCAGCTGGAGTCCTGGCTCTCGCACTGAAATGATGCATTTGATTATTAAATACTTGAGGTAGAGGTTTCTGGGAAACTGGTAGAGAGTAGATAGTATGTGGTAGAATAGAACATGTGTTATGAGGGACCCTCAAGACCATGGGCAGATTTCTTTCAGAAACTTTGGAGGTCAGAGGCTGGGCTGATTGATTCAAAGTGCTAAAAAATAGACTGCCAACCAAGAATCCTGTGTCCAGTAAAACTGTCCTTCGCAAGGTGGGAGAAATGAAGACATCCCCAGATAAACAAAAGCTGGGGAGCTTGTGCCACTCCTTGCCCTGTAAGAAGTACTCAAGTGAGCCCTGCCAAGTTAAGGGAAAGGAAACTGGACAGTAATTCAAAACTGTGTGGAGAAATAAAGCTCTCAGTGAAGATGAATATACAGGGAGTTTTAAACACTTGTGTTATTGTATCAGCAGCTTATAACTGTACTTTTGCTTTCTACATAGTTTATGGGACTAACACACTTAAAAGAAGAAATACAGTTATTGGTGTAATTCGTACCTTCTTGATCACATGTTCCAAAAACATATTGCAAAATGTCTTAAGCAAAATAGGGACTACATTGGTTCACATACCTAAAAACCACCAGAGCACTGTTGGCTTAGATCTGGCTGGAAGGGCTGGGGACACAGCAGTCACCAAAGAGGGAAAAGTTTGTGCATATTTTATAGAAAGAAAATGGAAGGGACATGCAACCATGCTGACAGTTTATAGCTATTTTTTTTTAATTTAGATTATGGGTTATATTTTCATGTGAATTTAGATCTTTTAACGCAATGTGGATACAAAATAAAATTTAAATGGCCATTAACCAGTTGTTATTTAGTTTGATATCTCTTTTCATGAAAAGAAAGCCAAAGGAACTGGTCTGGGTAGTAACTGGATGCTATCTCCCGTGTTTTACTCAGGAATGAGTTCATTGCAGGAAAAAGAAATACTCTCTGGCTGTTTCAAGAAAAATAAGATTTTGAAAATAAAGATTCAGAAGTCTATTGCGGAAACTCTTGACAGGAGCCCTGCAGAGCATCAGGACGGCTCCTACGGCGGGCGGTGAGGGACAAACGCTAGACGCCAGGACGCCGCGCGAACCAGGCAGGGCCTCTGTCCACCCCACCTGGCCTGCGGGGTCTCTCATTTCTGTCGCCCGTGAGCCCTGAAGAGCCACCTGTGTGTTTGCGACCACCTGTCCATGACCACAGCTTTGCTGCTGAGCGTGTCGTTTTCAGTTGTGACAACCTAGCCAGGGGCCCGCCCTGGGCGAGTCCGCGTGGCCGGCAGTGCAGAACTGCAGGCAGGGAGTCAGGCTGTGAGCCCTGCAGGGCTGGGGGGCGGGTGGAGTGGGGGGCATGGGCTGCAGACCCTCCAGATGTGCCCAAGCCCTGGGCATGGGCTTACTCGGTTTCTCTTAGGAAGTAATATTTGTGCACTGATGCTTATTTCCATTAACTAGGTTGGGGTAATTCAGAGCTTTAATGACATCTATTCTTACGCTCATTTATTTTTCAGCAGCATTTGAGGTCTGCTATTTCCAAGCACTGTGCCAGGTTCAAGGATACCCTCCTGGGTGAAAGATGATATTTCTTCCTTCTCTCGCAGGTTTATAATATGACCAAAAGGAAGTGACACTAAAACTTTAAAATCATCAAAAGCGCATTTACTAAGCTCCAGTGCTCTTCCTGGGCATGTCAGGGACCCAGACTTGTATGAAGTTAAAAAAAAAACCAGTTTCCACTGTGGAGAAACACAGAGCCTCCTTCCACAAGTGTCCTTTATGTTTCCAGAAGTCTCAGACTTTCCCCAGCCTCATGGGCGCATGGCCATGGGAACCCCAGCTGGTCCCAGAGGGCCGTGTCATGTGCTTCCTTCCAGTCAAGATGTGAAGGAGCTCAAAAAAGCTCTGATAAGGAGATGCTGTCCTGGAGGATGCTTTTGATGGTGAAATACACCATTAAGGAGATGTTTCAGGCCTAAACCTTACCTGCCCGCCTCCCCAGCCATCTCTCCCATACCATCACCCAGCGCTACCCAAGTTTTTCAGGTGGAGCTCCTTAGAAATGAGGTCACTGCTTACATAGGCAGTGTAGGCTTGACAAAATAAACCCTGGTTATTTTAAATCATGTGGAATCTGAATTGGGAATCCTAGGATGGACAGTGCCTCTTATAAATGTGAAAAGGAACATTTATAGGATTGATGAGTAAAGAGTCATTATTTGCTTTCTGAAAGGTTCTTTGCTCTTCTAAGTAATTTATCATGAAATTGCTTTAGGGAGTAAAACCCTTTATTTCTCCTAAAATTCTGATTCTGACTTTTAGTTTAAGACTGCATCTGGCTGTTTCCTTATAGGTTTCCTCCTCCAAATCCCTATTAAAACATCCAAGGAACAGAAAACATCAAAAACATTTAAAAACTGCTGTAAACAAAATGGCCATCAACATTTAATATGATTCCTAGAGCAAGTTCCAGTAATAAGGGGCAGATGTGTTTGTTTTCAAATTCCTTAAAATCTTTATCCTCCTCTTCACCTCCCGAAACAAAGGCAGCGTGTCCAGGGAAGAGAGGACGGGGGTAGGTTCTCCCTGTTGCCCACCACCTGTGATGTCAGCCCTTCTCAGAAGCAGCAGGAAGCCTGTGTCCTTGTCCTGAGATACCAGCCCACCAGGAACCACCCTCTTTCCACCTGCAGAGGACACAGCTCTGAGGACGTAGCCCCTGTGGATGCCGCTGAGCAAGTGTGTGGCCCAGAGGCGGGGGATGAACCAGACGGACCTCAGCAGGCCTGGAGGCTGCTGCACTTCGGTATTTTAAAGCAATAAATCTACAGCTTCCCATACGTGAAGCAATATTTACTCTGCTGCAAGTTTGAAAACTGGACATAGGAAATGGTAAAGAGTCTGTCTCAGTCTGGCAAAAGAATACTTGACCTCTGCTCATCCCTGGTGGTTGGACAAATTCTCTAGTTGTTGGGGCAGGAGGGAGACTGTCAGTACTGACTTGAACAGAGAGGAGACTTTCATATCCTGTTGGTGTGGACATTAGTTTGGTGTGGACATTAGTTTATCAGTGTTTATCTCATTTGTATTAGAGACAAGTTTATCTGGATTACTTAGTGATTATATCTGATTTACACTTCACACAGTATTAATGTGGGCAGTCCCTTATCTTCCTGTTTGTATCATTTGATGTTTTTAAAAAAGCTTAACCTTTATGAGTAGCTTTCTTTTGGGTACACCTCTTATGACTGTGTACTCAGTCACTTAGCTGTGTTTGACTCTTTGTAACCCCGTGGACTGTAGCCCACACCAGGCTCCTCTGTCCATGGGATTTTCCGGGCAAGAATGCTGGAGTGGGTTGTCATTTCCTCCTCCTTGAACATTAATTAAGGTTTGCCTTTTCAGCCAATATTGACATGTTTTAATAATGACATTATCTAATCCCCAATAGTGTGAAAATTTGTGTCAGTGATTATTTAAAAATAATTGCCTCACTCCCAGCACTGTAAACCCACCAGGGCAAGAACTCTGTCTGTTCTGTTCATATCTGTGTCTCTGGCAACTGGAGTAGAGGTTGGAGAACAGTTAAGGACTCACTAAACATTCGTTGCATGAATGACTGAGTAATGAAGGGAAAGTTTGGGTTTAAACCATCTTTCTTTAAAACTGTAAATGTTGGTCCCAGTGTCTCCTGGCACCTGATGCTGCCAGGAAATGAAGCCCCTTGGGCATCCTCTGAGGTGACGGTGCCCTGGAGGATGCCTGGGGAGGGCCGGGGAAGAGGCACAGGACATGCTAGGTGTTTAATTTCATTCATCATCAGAACTGGATTTACCCTGGATCAAACAATGCTGCAGCTTCAGGCTCTTCCCAGGACCCAGTGGGTCCCCAGCAGCACACTGATACCATCATGTGTTCTGAAGTTTTCAAAAGGTGTCACCTGGAGTGAGCAAAGACCATGCCTCTTTCCAGGCCAGCTCCCCCCACCCGCGTTTCCCTCCATGAGAGGATGAGAGATTCGTGCAGTGGGTCAGGCTCTGGGGAGGCAGGGGCAGGGGTGGGCATGGTTAGAGTTAGTGCAGCCGCAGTAACTCTGTCTCAGTGCTGGGGTGACTTCCAAAAATGCTCTAACCACACACTCTGCTGATTTATCCAGTGTCACGATATGAAGACTCAGGAATTAAAGATAAAATAGTAATCAGCCAGAAAATGCAGTTAGAGTTATGCAGAGGTGTGCTGTGCCCTTAAAATTGAAAAAAAAAAAGAAGCTATTTTCCAGACTGTGTGATGCTTGTGATAATTGTCATAGTTCAAATGTTTATATTATTCTTATATGTGCATACTTTTCTTAAAGAAGTTCCCCAGGTTATGTAACTCGAAAGCCTCACAAAACCTGGGGATCCCATGCTTGTTAAAATCACAAAAATTGAGAAAACTTTTAAATCTCTAGATTCTCCTGCACCAAATAACTTGGAATAAATTTCTCTGGAACAAGACTGTTGAGGTTACAAGAAAAGATGGCCAAAAACACATTAGCTATGAGAAACTTAATACTTATTTCTCTCACTCAGCAGTCCATGGATCCAGAAGAATTATGAAAGATATGTGTATGTGGATGTGGGAAAAATTAAAAGAAATAGAGGGGAAAAACAGAAACAATAAATGATAGACTGAGTGAAATCTTATCAGTAATTGCATTAAATGTTAATGGTCTACACACTGCAGATCGGAGGCAGAGATCGTCAGGATGGATGAGAAGTAAGTCCCAACCATGTGCTGCCTGCAAGAGCAAGCTTTGAATAAGAAGACGTGGAGAGGAGCTTGAAAGCAAATGAAAGGAAAAGGTAAATCATGCAAATGTTGAGAGTAAGTCCTTGGAGTGAAGTGTGTTCATATCAGAGAAAATAAGCTTCCATCTGGCGAGTGTTGCCAGAGATGAATGGAGTTTGTGTCATGGTCAAATGCTCTTCATCAGGAAATCAAATGATTATAAAGGCGTCTGATGAGAAATATTCCAATATATGAAGCAAAACTGATTCAATTCAAAACTGAAACAGATGAGTCTATAACCAGATTTAAACACTCCTCTCTTGGCAACTGATAGAACAGTGAGATTTAAAAAATGACAAATGAGTCAGTGAGGAGAAAGCATCTCCCCGAAGAAAGGCCTGACAGGTGGCTGGAGGTAGTGGGGGCCTGGCGCCTGGCTCAGTCCTTGTGGGAGGTGACCTCCTTCCTCCACAGGTGTCTGCTGCCCCCCAAAGCCTGATTTCCACCATAGTGAGGCCTCCGGCTCTTGGGGGCCACGGAGGCAGCGTTTGTAGAGGCTGGACAGGCTGCCAGGCTTGTCAGGTGCCCCAGGGCCCTGGCCAGCATCAGCCCATGGACTCGCCTGTCTGTAATCCTGGCCATGGAAAGCTCCTTATTTCCTTGTGCACTCAGGAATGCAGTTATAGAAGATAATTTTAAAGTCACATTCAACATTTTAATTGTTTTCAAGAAGTCCAGGGAACTTTGTCACAAAGGGTAGAAGTCAACGCTGCCTCTTGAGACACACAGTAAATCGGTGTGTATTTGTTCACTACGATCATTTCCGCTTGTTTGTGGCGACAGAAAGCAGCACAGCTCCATGACAAAGTGGAACCGTTGCGTCGAGCGTGGTGCGTTCACGTGACTGAAGGTGGAGGGGCGCTGGACGGACAGTCTGCCTCTGCGGGAGGGCCCTGCATCTCCTCTTGTTT